TTAGATCATTTTGGGTCATTTTGGGGTCAATTTTGGGTCAATATTGGGTCATTTTGGGGTCAATTTTGGGTCATTTTGAGTCAATTTTGGGTCATTTTGGGGTAATTTCGGGTCCTTTTGGGTCATTTTGGGTCATTTTGGGTCAATATTGAGTCATTTTGGGGCCAATTTTGGGTCATTTTGGGTCAATTTTGGGTCATTTTGGGGCAATTTCGGGTCCTTTTGGGTCATTTTGGGTCATTTTGGGTCAATATTGAGTCATTTTGGGGCCAATTTTGGGTCATTTTGGGTCAATTTTGGGTCATTTTGGGGCAATTTCGGGTCCTTTTGGGTCATTTTGGGTCATTTTGGGTCAAGTTGGGGTCGTTTTAGATCATTTTGGGTCATTTTGGGGTCAATTTTGGGTCAATATTGGGTCATTTTGGGGTCAATTTTGGGTCATTTTGAGTCAATTTTGGGTCATTTTGGGGTAATTTCGGGTCCTTTTGGGTCATTTTGGGTCATTTTGGGGTAATTTTGGGTCATTTTGGGTCACTTCGGTTCAATTTTGGGTCATTTTGCGTCACTTTGGGGTCAATTTTGGGTCATTTTGGGGCAATTCCAGCTACTTTTGGGTCCTTTTGGGTCCTTTTGGGTCATTTGGGGTAATTTTGGGTTACTAGGGTTCAATTTTGGGTCATTTTCGGTCAATTTGCGTCACTTTGGTTGAATTTTGCGTAATTTTGGGTCATTTGGGTCATTTTGGGTTCAATTTTGTGTCATTTTGGGGCAATTTCGGGTTCTTTTGGGTAATTTTGGGTCACTTTGAGTCATTTTGGGTCCTTTTGGGTCAATTTGGGTCATTTTGGGGTCATTTTGGGTCACTTTGGGGTTTTTTGGGTCATTTTAGGTCATTTTGGGTTATTTTGGGTCACTTTGGTTCAATTTTGGGTCATTTTGGGTTAGTTTGAGTCAGTTTTGGGTCATTTTTGGGCAATTCCAGGTCCTTTTGGGTCATTTTGGTTCAATTTTTGATCATTTTGGGTCACCATGGGTCAATTTTGGGTCATTTTGGGTTAATTTTGAGTCAATTTTGGGTCATTTGGGGTTAATTTTGGATCATTTTGTGTCATTTTGGGTCATTTTGGATGAATTTTGGGGTCCTTTTGTGTCATTTTGGGGTAATTTTGGGTAATTTTGGGTCACTATGGTTCAATTTTGGGTCATTTTGGGTCATTTTGGGTCATTTTGGGTCAATTTTCGGTCAATTTGCGTCACTTTGGTTGAATTTTGGGTCATTTTGGGTCATTTTGGGTCATTTTGGGTCAATTTGGAGTCATTTTGGGTCACTTTGGCGTTTTTTGGGTCATTTTGGGTTATTTTGGGTCACTTTGGTTCAATTTTGGGTCATTTTGGGTCAATTTGGAGTCATTTTGGGTCACTTTGGGGTTTTTTGGGTCATTTTATGTCATTTTGGGTTATTTTGGGTCACTTTGGTTCAATTTTGGGTCATTTTGGGTTAGTTTGAGTCAGTTTTGGGTCATTTTTGGGCAATTCCAGGTCCTTTTGGGTCATTTTGGTTCAATTTTTGATCATTTTGGGTCACTTTGGGTTAATTTTGGGTCATTTTGGGTTAATTTTGAGTCAATTTTGGGTCATTTGGGGTTAATTTTGGATCATTTTGTGTCATTTTGGGTCATTTTGGATGAATTTTGGGGTCCTTTTGTGTCATTTTGGGGTAATTTTGGGTAATTTTGGGTCACTATGGTTCAATTTTGGGTCATTTTGGGTCATTTTGGGTCATTTTGGGTCAATTTTCGGTCAATTTGCGTCACTTTGGTTGAATTTTGGGTCATTTTGGGTCATTTTGGGTCATTTTGGGTCAATTTGGAGTCATTTTGGGTCACTTTGGCGTTTTTTGGGTCATTTTGGGTTATTTTGGGTCACTTTGGTTCAATTTTGGGTCATTTTGGGTTAGTTTGAGTCAGTTTTGGGTCATTTTTGGGCAATTCCAGGTCCTTTTGGGTCATTTTGGTTCAATTTTTGATCATTTTGGGTCACTTTGGGTTAATTTTGGGTCATTTTTGGTCAATTTTGTGTCATTTTGGGTCACTATGGTTCAATTTTGGGTCATTTTGGGTCATTTTGGGTCAATTTTGGGTCAATTTTTGATCAATTTGGGTCGCTTTGGTTGAATTTTGGGTAATTTTGGGTTCAATTTTGGGTCATTCTGAGGCAATTTTGGGTGATTTTGGGTCATTCTGAGGCAATTTTGGGTCATTTAGGGTCATTTTGAGGCAATTTTGGGTCATTTAGGGGTAATTTTGGGTTAACTTTGGGTCATTTTGGGTCATTTTGAGGCAATTTTGGGTCATTTTGGGGCGATTTCGGGTCCTTTTGGGTCATTTTTGGTCAATTTTGGGTCATTTTGGGTCACCACGGTTCAATTTTGGGTCATTTTGGGTTAATTTTGGGTCATTTTGAGTCAATTCTGGGGCAATTTCGGGTCCTTTTGGGTCATTTTGGGTCACTTCGGGGTAATTCTGGGTCAATTTTGTGCCGATTTTGGGTCAATTTCGGGTCATTTTGGGCAATTTTGGGTAATTTTGAGTAGTTTTGAGTCAATTTTGTGCCGATTTTGGGTCCATTTCGGGTCATTTTGGGTCATTTTGGGTTATTTTGGGTAATTTTGAGTCAATTTTTTGCCGATTTTGGGTCATTTTTGGGTCAATTCCGCCTCTTTTTGGGGTCGCTTGGTGCTCGTTCCCCTCCCCCCCTCCCCCCCACCTCTGACCGCCCCTCCCCCCACAGCTCCCGCCCGCCGCCGCCGCCCCCCCGGAGCCGCCCCTCCCCCACCCCCCCAAACCGGGGGGCGGGCTGGGGGAGGGGCCTGGAGGAGGGGGAGGGGGCGGGGCCTCCGCGACCCCCCCGGGGACCCCCCCGGGGGTGGGGGAGGGGAAGGAGGAGGCGCCGATCTCCGAGTGAGTTTGTGGGGGGAG